GACCTAGATTTTTCTTCATATGATTGAGCGTTATATGTGTATTGGTTTTTAGTGGGCCCTTTTATTTGGTTCCACCGTGTTTTACAAAGTCTCATTTTGGCCTCCGATATTATATATTTTTAAATGACGTAAGCATTATTAGTTCAATAGACATGACAAAAGCGAACGAAGCATTTACAATTTCTCAGCACTCATACGGTCCAAATGAATCCCTTTTCTCGTTTCTTTTTGCGAAGTATAAGAATAACTGTAAAATTCAAATACTATTACTAAATGTGCTAAGTTATAATTCCGTCGGTTAACCGGTAGAATAGTCTTTTGAATAATTATCCCTTCTTTGAAAAAAAACAAATACCGCAAGTAGCATACTTATTGCTTTGATTAAAGAGAATATACAACATTTGCTTTTGCTGTAATTTTTAGAAATGGATGGATTTAGGGGTTAGTATTTCATAGCAAATATTGTTACATTGACTTGTTTGAAGTTTTGTGTTCGTAGTTGCTGGGAAAAAACCAAGAAAAACAATTATGTTCATGTAGTCTGGTTCCCCAATTTCAAACAAAATGCAGACTAAGTAAATACAGTATGGTAAATTGGGGGCAGTGTTTGAAAAAAACTGGGGTTTTTTGTCCAACGCTTGTTGGCAGACCAGTGTTGGAAATTGATACAAAAATACTACTTTTCTTGAAAATGACAGCACACCAGGTGCCATGATTTTACAGGATGCTTTAGACTGTCATTCACTAACAGTCCAGTAAGGTATTTCCTAATAATTTGGTAGTTTTGTTCTTTCATGTTTGCAAATGTTGTATATTCCCTGTGGTTGCTGCATGCTTTCATTACCTGACTATTCAGGATAATCTTATACAGGGTGAGTTAAAAAAAAAAAAAAAGCGGAACCCAACCCTCAAAAAAATATATTTCATATCTAAAAAAATATGTAGCACCAAAAATAATAATGACTGTAAGCCAATTTCGTAAACTACTTTTATATGAAAAAAATTATTTAAATTGCTAAATCCGTTCAATAACCATTAAACACAATGACCCTAAAAACTCTTTCGTCCAAAAATGCGATTTCAAGAATCACCGTCACAATTGTCTTCAAACATCACAAGCGATAAAACCTCAGATTTAAAGTTCAAAATATTCAACAAAGTCCTTTTGAAGGCCCGTCTTTTGGAGAAAAAAATGCATTTTATAAATCATATTGTTTGCCTAAGCAGGGTTGTTAATAAAGATATTGTGTACTACAGTTGCTGACAGTTGTGGAAACAAGTATTCTATGTCATTTTCTTTGTTGTTCTAAACAGTCAGAACACACAATAAATTGGGTTTTTTTGGTGGTCGAAACAGGTTTTAGGGTCATTGGGTTCATATGGTGATATTCTTTGAACGGATCGAGCAATTTCAGTATTTTTTTTCATCTAAAATAGTAGTTTCTGAAATTGGCTTTCTAGTCATTATTATTTCTGGCGCTACATATTTTTTTTTTTAAATAAGAAATATATTTATTGGGGTTCCGCTTTTTTGGACTCACCCTGTATAATACACCTTCCACATTATGGTCCCACTGGTGACGTTCTACCGGAAGAAATGTGAATTTTCATTTCTAGGAATAAGTTGGCATAACTTTGTGGAAATTCAACACCAGCTAACCTCAAAGGGGGTTTAAGAAAAGGGTCCTGTGCACGATATGGCCGTATCGCTGTCTGACAGAAGGGGCAATAAACCTAGCCGTGACGTGCCTGGTGATTGGTGGGCTGGGCCGACGTCACCTTTCTGTCCCCTCAGACGCTGGTTGGGTTTAAATCATAAAGCTGCGTGCAATGGGATTTGTTCTGGGGCTTGTAAATTGAGTCAACACATGTCTGCTGTGCTACATTTCGGTGTTGAATAAAGACGTATAACATTAGTTTGACCCGAGTATAGTCTGGTGCCCGGACGATAGACGTCTGGAAACCCGCCCTGCTGATGGAGCTATACACGAAAATGCCCTGGGATAGGCATGCATGAAGAATTCAAGCTGCGGCTATAATAACTTTTATGAGCAAAATGTGTCCACCACGACACTTGTCAAGTTCAGGTATGATGTTTGCATCAAATTCGTGTATTTGTTCATCAATAATGACATCGAGAATGAGAATTTACTCGCTTATTTCAAAAGAATGAAACTTCACTTCCTTCTTAGCGAAAATTCATTCCAACCGTCACAACCTCGGGACACGACGATTTCGATTGAAATTAATCCAATCGTATAGATCAAGTTAATTTCATCCGTGGTCCAACTGGAGTGACTCTTTTTCAAAGTACATGTATTTCCATAAAAAAAACGAAGAGAGATTGTCACGCTTAATGGTCTGATTCCTATAGTTTCACTCTTTTGAAACAAGTGAGTATAGCAGTGATTCATCTATTTCTACTCCTCTACATATATATGTAAAGCGACAGAACAGAACACGTTCATTAAACATATCCTCGTGACCAAAGCTCACGAAATGGATCTTATGGAAAATTGTCAACTTTAATATGCCTATAATCATGACAGGACACTCGCTGTTCGCGTTGTTGTCATCTTTAATAGTGAATATCGACGTGTATACTTGATATTGTTATTGTTAAGAATTCCATTGTGTATTCATTGTATACAACAGCTTCATTCCAGGGTTTGTAACTGCCGGGTATTACTGTGCAGACTTGCGAGTAATTTCATTGGGTTTCATCATCAAGAATATGCCAATCAATGGTATAACAACACCAAATATGGAAGAGGTGTAACTAAAACACAACTATACACAAATTAACAAACAACAAAGTAGTTAATAACAAATGATAACTAAAACATGCATGGATAAACAAAAGGGATAAATGGAAAAACAACAGATAGTTAAAGAAATAGAAATAGAAGGTAGATTTAAAAAAGAATCATGCAGATTGCTCAATAAAAACATACCATTTTCATTGCTAGCAATAAAAACAACAGACTTGATGTCATCATATAAACGCTGAGAACATGGCTTTCCTTTTCCAACAGTCTTGAAAGAATTTTCATTTTTTCTCCCATGAAAACATGGTTCAGAATGAACTGTATTCCTTTCAGTTGCTCCCGTTGAGCATAGTGATAGTCATACATCATCTCTGGATTGCCTCTCCCTGGCGATTCCGTTCATTACTACTCCGTCAACGCTTTCCCCTCGCAATTCTTTGTTGTTCGCGGTGCCTGATTCACAATACGAGCCCACCCCACTGTTGGCCGGCGGTTAGGCCCCGTCAATATCGCTCACTGGAGAAAAGAAAATCCCTCCTCATGAAAAACGATTGAGACTCATTCACCGCAAGGTGTCTTTCTAACAAAAAACAATCTTGTATAAAACTTTAATTTAATTATGTAATTCACGAGTGCTTATTTGGGTTTCCGGATGAACCCCCACTCATAGATTCAACTGAAACGTTAATTGTATTTCCTAATTTGTTGTTGAATGAGTGGAAAACAAAACATATAAGGCCTGAACCTGAAAGCTGGACATGAAGAAAGTAAATTAAAAATCAGTTCTGATTTAAAACGAGCTTGTCTGATTTCATCATAGGTTCAAGGTGTTGCCTCCAGTCAATAATAACCATCGTAACACTATTTATTTAGTCGCTGTTGTTGCTAACCGGTGGGCCCCTTCGGAGATGGCTGCGAAAGATTGAGCCACCGATGAATACTGAGAGATAAGTAGCGTCGATAATGCCATATCTGAAAGGAAGAACAGCTCTAGAGCCACTTGCTTGCTGGAACTCTTCTCCCCTCCTCCTCGGAACCCCAAACACACATACAGGGAAACACAAGCGCACGGGCCCCGAGTGTGCAATCAAATTTACACTAGCTGATGAGCTTGCCCGACAAAATTCGCGGGCAGATCTGGCCGCATTTTGCGGGCGAGCGCTCGCATATTTGGCTTCCATTATTTCAGTGTTAGAATCACAGGCTGTATTTGGCCAAGATATGCCTAATGTGGGACGGCACACAAACCAACGTGACTTGTGGGTGCCAGTGCTAGTGTGATGATGAGCCCCACGTGATCAAGCAAATCGCCCCTCAACCGACACTCACATTCTAAGGGCTCTTTTCTTTTTGTGAGTGTCTCCCTGTGTTGACATACTCAGCAACATCCTCCGGTTCCCAATTTCGATGAATAAATTCTCCAAAACATACAACACATTTTGTATCACTCTCCCAATACAAGTCGGCATTGATAACACAGAACTTGTACCAATATTGGCTAGGGATTAGGGACTCAACAATATATTAACGATGACATTACTGTACGGGCATTTCAAATAGGTTAGAGCTGGTATAGCAAATATTTACTAACAATGAATATAACATGATGTACGGGTTGATTTTCAGACTTATCTCAAAAACACTCCCCAAATAAGTAGAACCCTCCCCGTGAATTTAGTCTTACTTTGCGGCTGCTTTTCGGTTTTCATGTTTTTTCTTTGTTTTGCGTGTTTACTTATTTGTTTGTTTGTTTGTTTGTTTGTTTTGTTGCTATGTTTTCTTTAGAATTAGGTGATGTTCGATGTTTACAAAACAAAGTGAGCAAAGGAGTAAACAGCGCCAAAGGATAGCGTCAGCGTTTGGTCTGATCTAAAAAAAAAAAAAAATGTTTATTCAAAAAGTAAAACATCTTCTACTGCATAAAATATCTCAAGATTATGAAAGAGTTTTTAGAAAAACAATGTTACTGTCATTCGTTTCGTCGACTTCTATAAAACTGTTATTTCAACTGAATTACGGAGCTGGTTACGATTGCAATAAACCTAATGGACATCATTTTTTTTTAACAAAGTGCCTTTCTTCTCGTTCATTCTCGAGGCTATTGAAAAAAAGTCTCGAGATAAACGAGACTCAAAGACCTCCTCACCCCAATTTAAAGCCAAAAAAAAAACACAACACAAAACATAACCACGTCCACACAAGGCATTTAAAATACGACAGACACAACAGACGTGATTTCTCAGATTGGTCTCCAACTCGTTTTATTTCACGTTCCTTATCAACATCAAGAACTTCCATCTTGATCTGATTTACAACTTGTCCCGCTCCTTACAACCCTCCTCCGTCGTGTCTTTCATTTTGACACACCAGTATTACACAAACCAGATATATACTCAGCCTCGTTTTCTGTCAATACAAAGCACTAAGAAATAAATTACACTGTATATAAAGTGTCCGCACACCAACCCGGGGAGCGAGGAACCGATGTTAAAATTACACAGGCTTTAATTCATAAAAAAAAAACAGAACACAAGGGACCAGGGGTTAGGTCACAGAAAAAAATTCAATGCCTGTTTCATGTCATACGAGAGTACGTGTTCACCATCCTTTTCAGTGCAACAGTTTTTAACCACAGAATCCATCACTTTTAAGTTTTCTGATATTACGCTTACCATAATACACCTATCATAACGTCATTGTTTTCATCTTTTGGTTCATAAATACTGTGCACGAACACTGTGTCCTTCTAGACGCCATACATTCCATCCCGTTTTCAGAACAAAGAAACGACCTGGTGTCATCATGCTTTATATTCACTGACCCGTGTCTTCACACACGAAATGTGCATGGGGATTCCTTCGATTTTATACTATTTTTTCCATACCATGCAGTTTTTCTTTTTAACTTGCAAACATTCTGTATTTTTCTTTTAGTTTGTGCCCCCGAAAGAACAGGATACCTACGATTCGTGCAAAGTCGGTGATCGTTATATTTACTGATCACAGTCCTCATCATGCATTTTTAAAGTCTTTATAATTTACAGACGCAATTTCAAAAAAAAAAACTATACATAAAATGATTACGATCATCTGCCATTAGTTGTCTGTGCAAGGAATGCTGATGACGTTGTCATGCGAACACGGAACAGGATAATTAATAAAGGAATATCTAAAATTGATTCAAATATACTAATACAGTTTCACAAATAAACCCAGCTAATTAAGAGATCCGGACAACATATCCTAAATGGAATTTGCGACACTGGAAATGCGAAACAGAAAAAAACCAAAGACAAACTATACTGAGTAGATGACACCAATGATCAAAATGTTACTGTTTGGCTTCTGGCGTATTTGGCAATTTACATGTTTTGTATTTATTCCTTTGTTTTCCCTTTCTTAATCAGATGCCTTCTCCAAAGGGTATTCTTTTCTTGGGGATAAGATAAGCCATCCAAAATTATCAAACACAATTCGAAAACACCACAGCCAAAGAGGTAAACACTTTGTATCAACTGACCTACAATACAATCCATTCCATCAATGGGGAATGACCTGCTTCTGTTTGTTATTTATATTCTGAACTTTGATAAAATCCCACTCGTCACATTACTTGCACATCATTCAAGGATATTACCAAAATAAGTATACATTTATTCGTGCCTTCACATCAGAGTTTGTGTGAAATAGGTTTCTAGTGGGTGAGTTTACATCAACGCTTCAGTCCTAGCCATGTAAGGGAGTTCTACTTCATTCCGTTGGATAACAAACGTATATGTACTTGCTAAACTCAATTCTTTGCATAGTAACCGAAGGGAATGAATGTAGAACATTGTTTGTGTGTTAATGATCAAAAATTAACGGCTCTCAAAGTACCTGAACTGCCCTTGTTCCCAAATTGAATAACATGATGAGAACAGCAGCGCCCCTCGTTCATCAGAGATTCCCAAATACCAACGCACATACCTTTCCACTAATTTATCAATGCTCGGTCAAAAAAGACGAAATGTTAGTCCGATAACTTATCCAACAAACAAAGTTTGGAAAGTTGGAAATTGAAAAATGATACGAAGTTTCGTTTGCTATCCGAAAACAAATATTTTGCTTACCATACGAAAGTGTTCCGACGTTTCTGCGCGTATTTTCTTTTTTAGAAATGCCTCTAGATGATCAGGCGAACTTCTGAACCGCTTTTGAAAATTGTCAAAACTCCAACAAATCCGACCAAGAATATGCAAGATAGACCGCTTTCTGTATTTTCTGTTTTGTTATCTTCTTTTCACCCCATCCCCGCACAGACAATACTTTTTTTTTGTAAAACCAGGTCACAGTCCTGACTGACAAAAGATGGCGCCTGGCATTCTGAAAATAACTTAAGTTTATGCAGGGTCTCTTAGGGTGCTCGTTCATTCAAATGATTATCGACCCTCGCTCTCTGAACAGCATGTGTTCTTTCCAATTTGCGTTTTGCTGTTTCTCTCACTTCTTTGACTCTGTTATGTTTTTATTATTCTATTAACATAAGATCACTGGGAATGTTCTTTATTAATATCCTTCAACAACTGTACCCCAGATATGTCTTTCTCTGTTTTATCTGTTTCTCTGATTGGTGTTTAGCGGTTGTTAGATCTACTGTGCTGCACCCTTACGGTTCTTGTTGCTATTATGTATTCAATGTATGAATGTTGCCCAATATTTTTCTAAAGCAAAACAGCGCGGCGGGTAATATGATCGTTTTCAAAAAATACCAAAATATTGCATTGTGCATACGGCATTATGGGTACATATTATTGTTTGTCAAAAAAATAAACCAGAAATGCCGCTTAAGATGCAGAATAAACAAACACAAAACCACTTACTAGTCCAATTCAATAATGGCATAACTTGTGGTCCATACGTTTCCCTGTGAATCAAATATGAAAATACCAATTATCTGTTCCCAGATGGATTGCAGCCATGTGATTATAAATCTTTCCGAGAACAAATGAGGACAGTATGTGTGTGTTTAATGTGCGAAGCGATGTTTCCGATACCATTCTGAATCCATGCAATTTTCCGCACCGTCGCGACGGTCTTTGTGCCCGGGTGGCGCTGGCGATACGGTGGGCACGTGTGTTCTACGGGCCTTTTTTATGTCGCGGTGGAAATCACCATATCGCGTGCACGTATACACACGGGTTGCCGTATCCATGTTTTCAACTTCGCCTACATGTCACATCAATCAAATGATTTCCACTGACCGCCCTCCTCCGATACAGTCCCCAATAAGAATGCATATCAGATCCAACCCAAAATGGCAGTTATATGGGAATAATAAGGGGGGACCTAGTGCTCTAGGGATACTTGATACAACCGTCGAAACGCGGTCCAACCTGTGGTAAAAGAGAGCCGGTATTGACTTGATGATTTTGACTCTTTTCAGCCCAGTGTTGCTAACAAATGAGGTAGGTGTCAATCTCTTTATATCACCCCGATCAGATGTGACGAGGCGTAAATAAGAGGTTTAACACAAAAAAGGAACGCAAATGAAGCGCATGAGCCTATTTTTCTCCCTGCATACGACTGGCAAATCTGAAGCTGCAGGGGTTATTCTAAGGACACTATCGATGGTATAGGACACGACGGATCGTCCAATTCCCAACGCATGCTGCGAGAAATGACGCAAAAGCGAGAAATAGCTTTTTATTTCTTGATTGGTTTGCTCTTTAAAAGGCATTACATCACCAATGAAACTTTCAGAAATTAGCATGGCCACTAAACACTAAATATATAGTTTATTTACTAATTTATAGTGTGGTTTTTTTTTAAGGGAAATAGCGAAAAATTGCTTTTCAATTTCATCTTTTGATTGGTTTAGTCTGTCTTACTTGTTCGCTGCAACCAAAAACAAACAAACAAACAAACAAACAAACAAACAAACAAAGGCGCTACACTACCAAAGGAACTTCGTAGTACAGCCATGAACACTGATTTGATAGTTCCCCCTGTTTTTTTTAATCTGCTACAGCTTTGTGCATGCATTTCACGCATTTTTTGGGGGTGTTTTTTTTTACACTTGAATTTGTTTTCTTTAGCTATGACCTCACGGTAAGTGGAGATTAAGCTCAAATCTGTCATCATAGAGAAGACGGCTTTTTTTTAACTTGTTGATTCTAATATTAAACAATGAAAACGTATGAGTTCCATGCCACGGGACTGCCGATGTTCTAAGCTGTTGGGGACTAATTTGAGATCAATTAAGGGTTATACTTAGTTGTAGAGATACAGATTAGTCCGCTTGCAACTTGAGCCTTTCGAAGAATCACTTCTTGAACAATAACAATCACCAGGTAATGGAACATCATTAGTTTATTTTGAAAGAGATTCACAAGAGAACCGACAACAAAATCTACATTCTGTCATGGCCAAACTTGGTGGTATGAAAGGAACTTTGTGTGTTTATATGTTGTGTGAAACTTTTCATTTATTTGAAGGTTCTAGTTGAGGACATTACCTGCGAGCCAAATATTGTGCATAATAGAGGGCAGAGTTAGCCGGGGGTGGCCCGATCAGGACACACGTGGCCACACGCTGACCTGGAAAAAAAAGAGATGAAGGGCACGTGCGACCAATCACGAGAACTAAAAAGGAGTGACCAAATAAAATAAACCCCAAAAGCCTTCAGCTAAAAAGCGAAGAAAAAAAAGAGAACCCCGAAAATGAGGCCATCGTCCTGTGATATACAATGTCTAAAGGAGGACCCCGTAATTGCGCTATTGTTGAGGCTATTAACGCCTGAAGAATTTTTTTTTGTTGTAGGGAGGCACGATCAAGAATTCGCTTTTATGCGTGTACGGCGAGCCGAGGTATACGGTCACTGGGCACGGTCGCTTGAGTGTAAGCACTTGTACGGGCTCCGCTGTCATGGTAAAGTTGAACTTAGGGGGGGGGAGATGTTGTGTCTGTCCGCTGATAATCATATTTTTTTTTCAGTTCACGGCTTTTTTCTTTCATCGCAAGGTTTTGGTTCGAATGGCGATTTTTGAACTTTTTTTTCGAACTGACGAAAAAATAAAGAGACTGCATTTTTGTCTTCTTCTGATCTTCGACCATGGTAAACAAAAGGCGTATTATATTATGTTATTTAGGCCAACCATTTGCCGATTAATACATAAAACGAAAACCTTCATCTTATATTGTCAGTTCGGGATCGTATCCCGAAGATATATTTTCAGACTCGGTATTGAGACAAAACTATCGCAAGGAAGCTTTCTTCTTACTCGGAATGAGAAAATTGCAGACTTAGAAACCGTTAACATGGAGAGAGTGAAACTGAATATTGTTTCATTTTCGCATGTCATCATGACAAATCAAAATAAAGCTTCGAAATTTGCAGGGCTGCTATTTCAGTTGTGACAAAACACACTCGCGATACCGAAACGCTCATAGGCTCCCAACCACTTCCGATCCGTGTGCGCAACTTGTCATTTTCCCCATAAATTTAGCAAGTCTGCCAATCTTGGCGATATGACCGGTCATTTGAGTGGAAGAAATCGGAAAATCCCCTGCCCCATATGTGGGACTCTCGGTGAAGTTTCTGTCAGACAGCGAAGCGCGAAGAGTGGTAGAACTACTGCAGCTATGTGCATGGTGGTGATCAAATATGATCCATCATTTACGAGACAAACAAAACCCGTCCGCTAAACATACACTGAATCCCAGAGGTCACAGCAAATAAAGAAACAGGAAGCTCTGATATTTGCAGAAGTTCGCTGGAATTTTTTTTTTTGGTGGGCTACGCGATCGTGAGCGAATTCGCCATGTCTACATGACCAGATTAAAAAGAAAAAGAAAAAATAAAGTGTGAGAATTTTTAAGTCGCTCACTCGGGAATATCTTGTACAACACAGGCACGTATTCCACGATTGTAAAATAACATCCCATTGTTTCACATAGTACACAGTTGTATGCGTTGGAGTGCTGAATTGGTCCATTTGGGTCGACCGATAAGGAATTAGCGATAAAGGTATGCAGGCAGGTATTCACAAATAGAGGGTACCGTATTTTGCTGGAAAAAAATTCCCCAAATATTATTTGATTACCGGACCTGATTTTATTTTATTCATTTACATTGTTCAATTCAGAATGGTTTTGCCACTGTCAGGAGTCAATTTTTCATAAGTTTAGGGGGCAACGACATGAAGGAAAAGCTATACAAAAGGATACCCAACTGTGGTTCCGAACCGTCTAGTTTCACAAATAATTCTGATATTGAAACTGACGAAAGGAAAACTGTATGTCATTAATTTTGAGGCCATTAGTTGTCTTAAAGTCTGGATCAGTGAGTCAAAATGGAAAACCCCAGTAATTTACTCTGGAAATAAACAAAAGTTATAGTCAAGTTTGGTTTTTTTTTTATGAAATAATGAATAACCGCAGACAATGAAACTGTTCATCGAGAATTTCTGACTCGCCGCCCTGTATCGACCAAACAAACCTCGGCATTTCCTTGAACGGACTGACCTCTGTATTACGGGTCACGTCAAATCACTTCCATTTTACCTAAATTGCTATGATCGGATATTTTCTACGTCTGTTCGTACCCTCACGATCACTGCTTTCCGGGTTCATCGGCCGAGGGTGATTTACTTTAAACCATCGTTGTTTCATGAAAATTGAAGGAGAAAAAAAGGGTCTTTACCGTGACTGACAAAATTTTGGTGTAATTGGTTCGTATTTGGATGAAAATGTATATGGGAAAATGGCAGTTAGGTTTTGATCTATGCTCAAGCTGGCTCGAAGGCATGACACATCCAAGATTGATATGCAGCAACACACAGTCAGACTTCCCAATGTGCCCCCTCTCTCTCTCTTCCATGCAGTTATTAAATTGATTGTGCTTTCAAAGACAACAAGGTATTGATATGGCGATGGTGTGACGTGAAAACCAACACCACCCTCATTCTATGGGCTGTGGCATCCGCCTTTGAACGGCGTGCGTTTGACCCCCCACTTCACCTAATTCACGCAGGGTGAACGACGGAACAAGGGCCAGCGGACGAATACCGGGGTGAAATCTAAGTAATTGGAAGGGTGTACTCTGCCATTCAGGCCAATAATCAGCCCCTCTCTGTGGGCGTGGGATGATGTAAAAGGCTCTGTTGTGTAGCTAGAGTGGTTGGGAAAGTCTCCGAGGATTCAAGATTACCCAGGTGTAATCATCATGACCATCTTCAGCGATCGGCTTGATTGCTGCTTTTTGGCAGAGCCCATTTTTTCCCTACTTCTTCTACTTCTACTTTGCTTTCTCGTTTTCTTCGGCCAAGATACAATCCTTTGTAATGATCGTGAGGGCAAGACAAGAAAATCCCGAGCTAAAGGCTGGTGCTCAGGTAATGACAGACAGACTCTGTAAGTCGTATGATATCAGCCGATTGGTTGCACGAGGGGTAAAGACAATGAGAGGCAATAGCAGCTCATCATGGCGATCAACGGTGAACGGTACACGGCGAGATCCACGCGAGAGAGTCATTCTGCGTCGCGCCATCTTCAAAGGGATCGCAATCTGCGTATCCCGACAGTTATCGAAGATGATTCGGCATTTACGACAAACACGCACGCTTTACTTTAGACAAATTGGAAATGTAAATACACGGAATTTGGCCTTGGATTGATTGCGGGATTGCTCACATTCCAAATCGAGTATTTTTTTCAATTGCAAATAGAAGAAAAAAAGAAAGATGGATTTCTCACTGAGAACAGCCAGAGGTTAGCACGCGTATGTCCTCCGAGGTAAGATGAAGTTAGTGGCGTTTATAAATCCCCTCCCCTTGGACCTCTTAATGGCCAGCACTATGCCCCGGCATCTATCCCACTGATAGCCGCTGCCCTGGCTCCCTATCTCTTTCCTCCAGTTCCCCACCTTATTTCGCCCCGTTAGCCCCCAACTGTTCTTTTCGCCGCACGCATTGTTATATAGCTCGGACCTGCGGGAGGATTTAAGTTGATAGATTGGGTATCTATAGTAAAACACTTGCAGGCTTCTCGGGCGACATGTCACTGGTATCATCATAAAACCAAGCAATTCCCTGTACATAGCCTTACCTCCCCAGGTCAGTATACACCAAATGCGGCAATGTTGTGTCGACAAATTTCACTCACTGTAACCCGTGTTTTTCTGTTTATTTTTTGGCCGGTGTGCACGCCGCGCTATATTATCTAAAAAGCCGTACGCAAAAGTCCCACTGCCGTGATGTATTCCCCACGACACCGTCACCCGGTACTTCAAAATTCGCCCTCATTTAACAGCAGCATTGTATTTTGGGGGGTCTTTCTTTTTCAATATGCAACTCATGAAAATTTATCCCCTTGAATATCTATGACCGGTGATTGTGCGGGCCTTTCGGCCATTTTTGCCGTTGGGGTTGTCCATCTATCTTGGACACCTGTGACCTGCGAGTAAAAAAAATACGCTCGCGCATTGCTAATGACAGAGACGAATCTGCATTAATTGTTCATGCACCACAATTCAGCAACAATTCTAATATTTTGTCGAGGAAACACTGGACCTCACGGCTAGGACTGAAGCTTTGAAAATCCTAAGAATTTTCCCATTTTGTATTAATCAGTGAAGTATAATTATCAAAAGCATGAAATATAGCTGTGACTTAAGGTTACAAAATCAGCCTTTGTTTATTCAAACTTGAGACCTTTTTGATTTTTCCTCATAAAAATATATTAAAGGAATAAGCAAAAAATTGGGTTTTTAAGCCATTCACTCACAATGATGGGTTGGTGTCTTCTATTGTTTTTGAATTACATAACTTAACTACGGCATGAATTATCATTAAAGACCTTGTTTCCCGTAAAATATATTACACAAAATAACATCAATGTCGTCAATCAGTAAAAGAAATATGCAAGGATAAAGAGCTGTATTGTTTGTAAATACCGAGTCACAGGCAAGATGGCGTTCACATTCATTCTTTGTATCAAGAAATATAAACCATATTCAATAGGCTCCATGTAAAATCATGGAAAACGATTTACAGTCAACATTGGCAAGTGACGAAATAATACTAGTATGTTAGTGTCATTTCACCCTCTTGAAATGGGACTTACTTTTTCATCAACAGCGACACCGGGTGTTGGTGTTGAATTGTTCTTGGGGCCGGTGTTGTTTTGGCTTGGTTTTTTTTCTGGTGGACCGGACCCATGCAGGCAGACATCGCTACGATCCTATATCCACAAGATTGTTGGACATGGGGGCCAGCATGGAATTCTGCAGCGAGTTCTGAAGCACGGACTCGGGCATGTTGACCTGCGTCAGCCCGACATCGGCGGCCGCGCCAGGCGGCAGGCTGGTCATGGGCGACATGAGGTTGGCTTTGCTCAGCTCGCTCATCATCAAACTCTGCTGATGGTGTTGGTGGTGCGGATGCTGGTGCTGGTGCTGGTGCTGGTGCTGGTGGTGATGGTGATGGTGCATGGAGGAGGCGGCTGACACGCCTAGCTCCGTCACATCGACAAGATTCTCCTTGCCGTTCATGACCATACCCAGGTCTTCTTCAGAGCTGGTGCTGGGCGTAGCTAGTTTTCCCTTGTTCTCCTGCTCCGCGCTCTCTCTGCATATACAAGTAAGAAAAATAACAAATGCAAACAAACATTTAATATTATTTGAATTCATATTTTAAACGCAAAAATCAGAAACCAAGGTTGTCAGAGCCGAATGATTTTGTGATGAATGTTTAGACTCGCTAAATGTTTATAGACACGCAATTTGATTTTATTGGACTTTATTGCCAGGATCAGCATTTTATGCTTCTCTTAAGTTTGATACAAACTAAAAATGTATGCAGATTCTCGCAAAATTGTTTTGTAATGTTATCATCACACGGCAAAATACGGCGTAATGACCGGTGATACAGCCTGGGAATGTGTTTTCGCACCGGCCGTGCGTCGCTCCGCTACCGGGCTGTTAATCAGCTGTATCTTGCTGTATTGACATTCAAATACCCGAGTAAATGAAGAGGGACAAACCGAAAGACGAGGAGGAAGAAAAAGAAGAGGAAATACTAGCAAAATGTCCCGCGGTTGAACAAGACAATGAATGGGAGAGATGGACACACAAAATTATGTCCAGTTTACAGCTCGCTGCATGCCGCTTGCATGGCGTGCTTGACACACCAAACAAACGGGAATATGGCCGGATCACGTAGGCAGCTCCAGCAATATCAATATGCCGCCGACCTCTCCTGAGTTTGTTTGCCCTCCCCCCTGCATAACATTGCCTGACCTAAATACATTTTTTACCGGCGGTTTAGGACACCGATTGTGAGTGATAATGCTACTACAATAACGCAGAAACTGCTCCTAATATTGCAACTTAGTTGATTCAATTAGTAACACGCACAGTGAATCGCTAAAATCGCCCATCGTTATTCCCGTAAATTGGCCAATATCTCAGCCAGAGTTGGCTTTTGTAAATCGTATACAACAACCACAAAAGATGGACAATAAATTCATCTTCAATGACACTTTTGTCTCGGATTTTTTCCCCTTAAATCTACGGCAAAAAAAGGAGGATAAGCACGACCCTCCTAGCCAGCCATAGATGGCTTTTTCTCTCTGCTCCTTTTGTCTGCGTTTCCCGGCCCACAATTTACCATATTTTGCCCCTCAGAAGGAAGCTAGCGTAAACGGCCAAAGATCCCGAGGAAAGTACGGGCGTATCGTGTTACATGGATGCAGCGCTGCACGTGGGACTCGCCGTGTGTGCCGGCACGGTAGCCTTGTCAACAACCCAGTCGCTCGCTGAAGCCATCTTTTCCGATCTAACTTGCGCTGGCCGAAAACGGGAGCAATACCCGGGTTACAAAACATTGGAATAAATTTAGTTTAGATTTCATTTTGATTGAAAAAGAAAGTTGCACGTAAACATTTGAAAATTACTCACCTTTCTTTGGCTTCAGCTGCCCTGTCCCGTTGCCTCCGGTTTTTGAACCAATTACTGACTTGGGTAGTGGTCAGTCCAGTCGCTTCGGCCAATTCCCTCTTTTCTCTGGGTGAGGGGTAAGGGTTGTGTGAGTACCATTCCCTGAGGACTCCCCTCGATTTCTCCTTGAAGCAATAGCTTGTCTCTTCCCCGTCCCAGATGGTCCGTGGCAGAGGGAACTTTCGGCGTACCCTGTATTTACCGACGGCTCCGAGCGGCCGGCCCCGGAGTTTCTCAGCCTCGATGTAGTGCGCCTTGAGCCACAGCGCTTGCAGTTTCGGGTGGTTGTGTGGCGAAAAATTATTGCTTTCCAAGAGCTTGTAGAGTTCCCTAAAGTTGCCGCGATGGAAGGCGACAATGGCCTTGGCTTTGAGCACACTCTCGTTCTTATGCAGGTGTTCGCAGGCCGGCAGCGACCAGAGAAAACGGCCCAGGCGTTCGATGTTGCCCGACTGCTGCAAAACTTCGCAGACGCAGGCTACCTGCTCTTGCGTGAAGCCAAACGACGGCAACATGCTGATGCTCAAGCACACCGCGAGATGAACACAACCTCAGAAAATGTCTTCTTCGCTCCAATTTTCACCTGTCTGGCCGGCCAGCCTTTTCAGGTAAACTCTGGAGTCAAATATGTACGGTATAGCTGACCCGGTGTGTATGCAGCGGGCGCACAGTGACTAGAAGACTGTACCGCGGCGGCCGTATACGACGATCTTGACTGGAAGTTCTCTTGCGAGTCTTTGACACCACTCACACTGACAGTCACACGCTGAGCCCGAGCCTTTTACTATCCGCGGCTCTGATTGGCTTTCTGCCCAGCTTCGGTCGTTCAGCCATTATGAGGGCGAACAGGAATTAGTTGCCAGGCAACGCTGTCAATCAGTGTAACCCGAAACGGCACTGGGTGTGGACTGACTGTCAGTGCTCTATTGAGCCACTGCCTGAGAGACGTGGCCTTATCCTTTACTCGTATATACCCTCAATGAATCCTGTGGCCGCGTTGCTCTGTGTATGCATGCGCAGTGTGCATACCATGGTGTTCCTGTGTTCAACTTGCACTGATGGTGGATAAGCCAGCAATAAAAATATATACCCCTATGCCAACAACGTGTGGTATCTGGACCCGAATTATTCAAAGTCTGCTCTCGGCAGTCACAACATTTCTTGTTAGGTATGTCACCAGTCATAGCACAGCCTGCCTACTAACATTTTGTTATACCATACATGCACATACACATTTTCCATATAGTTCGGAATGGGACGCAGAAATTCGACTATTATTTCACCATGAATCACTGTACAAATATTTGAAGCAAACATTTTCTGCCCGTTTTGGGTCAGCGCGGTGAAAAGAATGGGGACAGGGTGTTCCACTTTCCATTAATTGCACTACTCCTATTACTGATAATAACCCAGCTATCAAAATCGATATTTGATGTTCACATTTTTTCTTACCTTCCCCTGATAAAACTATAATTATGTCGAGGTGTCACCAACCCATGATGACCCTGGGGTCTTGTCCCCGCCTACTCAAGTAAAGAAAGGGCCTTGTATTTTTCTGTTTCTAGTCGCAATGAAAAGAAATGGTTACCAAACTGCTCACTGAAAAAAAATCATATAGGTCTAACCATTTTTTCATTGTCACTTGTGATCAGAATTTTCGGACAAAAACTAATCACAGTCATTGGTTTTCATTCTGTTATTAAAAGCATATAGTATTATACCATCAACAGCCCCTAACCATGTCTATCGTCCACGCCGCTTACGGTCAGGCAGACTGTACCGAACGCTATGTATACCAGCCTTATTACCAAATCGGCCAGACACAACCACTTCATCCTCCAACGCTACATGTTTATAGGATTTGGCCTAAGGTTTGTGTCTTGTTTTTGTTTCTTGAATAAATCTCCTTCAGTATGCTCTTCGGGGGCATGTGTGTATGCGCGGGTTGGCCGAGCGGTGAGACTGTCAGCGTGGTGGGTATATGTGGTGACTGTGTGGGTTGGACCATGGTTGGACAAACCACAAAATTCCGTTTATTAAACGTCGCTGCCATTTCCCCCAAACTGGTGAGACTTTGTAATGAAAAATAAATAAAGGTAAGCAACTTAGTTTATATTCTGCTATGAATCTAGCATTAAATGAGGCAAAGAAGAAGGGTTGAATAAAATGGTATTTTGTTCTCAGTTTTGAGCTTGTCGTTCGTATTGATACTGTGATGTGTTCTCAGTAATTAAATAAACACTGGAGGAAATTACTAACCATCCCAGCACAAAAACATCATATAGGCTAATTCATGTGACATTAGAAAGTAATGCGGAAATAATAGGTTAGTCGTTACGGTATGAGGGTCAGTGTAAAATCATGGAGGAAGGAAACCTTCCTCAATGGTAAAACTACCAAAAGAGGTCAGTGTTTTACAAAGCTGGAGTGAACTTGATTAGCACCTGTATAGTTTTGACAATGGTCAAAATGACAATCGTCCTCCGCCGCGGCGTTAAGGAGTTGGCGCGGGTACAGCAGCAGGCGTAGGGTCGGGTGACATCTCGACCACTGCTATCACTGATGTACAACGATTCTTAACCCCTCGTCGATTGGATTCTATTTGGGAATTATGACATCTCGGACAAAAGAACTTCCACTTTATGCGCTTACGTCGTAGAGGAGTTGCATGATGCATCACAGACATAACGATTCCCATTGGAAGCAAGAAGGTCATCGCAGAGCGTCGGTGGTTATCTGTGATTGCCTGCTGTAATCCCCTTGTGTACCGTCCTCTTTGAAACTTAATTACCGAATCTGAGGTTTATTTTGTTGGTCCATTTTTCAAAACTCTTTCTTGCAATGGTGTTTTGGTGTGACAACACGCATACACATTTTGCGGGTTTGTTTTTGCATTCAATAGGGGACGTTGAACAATAGGGGACATTAGGGTCAACAATTCCCGATTGACAATCGTGTACAAAATGTGTTGGAGGTCCTCCTAAAAGTTTAAGTACAAACAAAAGAGGGACAATAGGGGTCCCCGATTGCAGGCAAATACACACTTGGGAGCGTGTGTGTGTGGGAGGTGGCTTACCCCTCCCTTATCTTACCCATTTCCTGTCGTAATTCTAGTTTGTCACTTCAGGGAGCAGTCTGCCTCTTCTCCTTTTACGATCTTTCACACATCTTAATTGATCACATTATCACGAATTCACGAGACTTAAAATCAAACTGCTGAGGCTCACCATAAACATAAGCCTATGCACCATTCTAGGAGCACTTCGTATTCGAGCAACTAACCCATTCAGTCCTCTAAACACGTGAGGGCTGTTTGCCACCCCACTCGACCAGAAAGCTAAATCGTGCGCCAGTGTTGCAGGAGGCTGCACATATAAACCGCCATTGGAGACGGTATTTATTCAAGAATTCCCTGATGCCCGACCCCTGCGTACAAAGAGGAGCAACGCGACTTCTTCGGCCATCTTACGATGATGCAACTCAACCCGAGAGGCGATCACTTTGGAATCAATCCAACTTAATATGAAGAATGGTAATCATTTCCCACTATTTTCTTGAAAACCCAAACAATGTCGGCCTTCTTTTATTATTGTTTTTAAAGCAAAACCAAAATTTTTTTTTGACAATTTCGCGTAAAAAACTGTATTCCGGGTACTGAGTGAGCATTTGTGGACCGTGCTAATGCCTGACCCTTTTGGTTTTTTTACTTCCAATATACAGATAAGGCCATAAGTATATTTTGTTTTCGCAGCGGAAAGCAATTAATGACCTTACATTTACGTTGAAGATGTGCCACCTGTGTTTCGACCATAGATCTGATCACCTTATGAATACTTTCAGCGTCTCAAAATGATTATTTTTTTTTTTTTTTCAAATAGTTGATTTTCTATGTCTCTTACTTTTTTCCATAAAATTCAGTAAAAACTGGCATTTGAGTGCGATATAGGCCTACCTCAGATAAATATAGACATTGAATGGGTATTCGGCGTGTTAAGCCCATGGTGCAAAACATGGCAGGGAAATGGATTGTTTAAAACATGAGTAGATAGGTACAGCCAGTCTAAAGGTATACATGTTTTCATGCTTCATGCATTTGCATATATTATTTCACCTAAGCACACGTTTATCAAATTCAAAGTACATCATACATGTACAACATAATGTCGTTCACTGCCACTCAGTACGAAACTTGTTTTGAAAACAACCCATGCCTACAGGATATCAAAAATGAACTTGAATGTCGTAGTTCATAGAATAACACAGCATTTTCACTTTTTACAAACTTCATATTCACACTGATCAATCTTTGAATTTTAAAATTCCAAGGAATCCTCAAAGAGTGTTCCAATTACCGTGGTGAAACTAAAGCAAGTGGCTTTCACTTTGACGTCAGGCCAAGAGAATGTCTGTTATGACGATAAAAGACATTTCATGGTGTTGGAGATGTTAATAATTAATCCCGACTATATGGGCTTACTTCATGGTGGGGATATGAAACTGATGCCGCACGGTTGGTCTTCGCTCTAATAATTTTGGATTACATGAAAAGGAACACATCCTCTGAAATTTGCCATTGATTCGAAGATGTCTTTACATATCGATCTATCTTCAAAAAAGGGTGAACACTTCTATTGAATGACTGTACTAGCAGATCAAACTGTAAGTTCAGATTATGGAAGTTCAAGTTCAAACCTGCACATCTGAATGTATTTTGCATTAGCCGGTGTGGTCCATGTTTTGAGGTCTGAGTTGTCGGTGGTAGACAATTTATCCAACATAGGCAAACAAATAATTTTGGCAAACTAATCTCCAACCTTATATTTGTTCTGTTTGAAATTGAATTTTCACGGTTGTTCATTAACCGTATGGCGATATGTTAATAGCCTATACCTATAATCAGAAAGCCATGCGAATTTGACATTTTCATTTATAGAAGGTATGGAAGGTGTACATGAGTTTGCCTAGTTTATCTCTCTTTTGTTTCAAGGTCCTTCAGTCTAGCGGTTTGTCAAGGTCTTATACAAGACCCATCACCAGCAGGCGGTGGGGAGATCGGCATGTCATGTCCCCACGAGACCTCTCAGCCGGACCCGCTACATCATCAAACCGAAACTTCGTTATCTCGACCTGACGCGTCAGGCTTATTATTTGCAGCCCGGGTATTTTTCTTCACAATTCCTCCTCGTTAATCACAAGCAGGTTTGATAAGAAAGACAGAAGAAAAAAAAACTCCGGCCGCAAGAATGGAGATAATTATAATACCCGGCTGCCAGAATAAAATAAAATATCAGATTTCATAGTAAGTTCAACTGCCAACCGCTGAACAAGGCCCCCCCCCCCCCCCCCGTCCATTTCAACTGGAGTTAAATTTTTAATCACCTCTACGGTTTTTCCCCTGCGTTGTAAGGAATGATCTCTCAGTTTGTGGCCTTGCCGATCTCGGATCATTGTCTGTGGGTAATTACCCAGCCTGGGCCCGGTGTGCCTGTCTGCCGGGCTGCGCTGATCAGATTTCTCGTAATGGTTTCACCACATTTTCGAGACCACTTTCTTAAATATGAGACGGCTTCGTGTGAGCTGGACCGTGGCTGAAACACTCGGGTTCCCCAGCTGTCTCTGGCATGGCTTTGCCTCGGTTTCCTAGTCGGCCGATGATTGGACATAATCATCGTCTAATCGGTAAGAACGTGAAACAAAGAACCCCGGACACTCCGCAAAGACAAGGACAGAAGAAGCAGCAACAGAGATAGAAACACTGGTGAACATTTTATTGAGAGCAACACAATAAACGCCAATGGTATGCATCAATTTAAGTCTAAAACATTTGTGCATTTTCAAACTCACTTTTTATTC